GAATGAAGACGGAATGGACAGAGACACACAGAAGGATGAGGACTAGAACTGGATTTCTGGATTTCTGGAACTCTAGGCTTCTCCAATGGCTGTGATAAAAACAAACAAAACACTCGCTGACATAGTGATAAATAGCTTCCCAGGCATAATTTTTCCAGGATGGCTAAATGTAGTTTCCTGATAAGTCTACAGATAAAGTGGTGGTGTGCATTTACATTGGGCAAGTCTGAGTCAAAAGCATTACTCTGGAAATGTGGGCTTGATTTTTTTGGGGGGCGGGGAGGGTGTTAGGTTATATCAACTGTAGTCCCACAGGCTCTTGCATTCAGGGAGGAAATGAACCAGCATTCTTAAGAGAGAAATTCAGATCTCTGACTCTCCATGCTGGAGAGGAACTAGTTTCATGTGACTCCATTGTTTTCCCTTAAAAAAAATAACAACTTTCTTTAAAATAGTTGTTGCCTCCCCTAAGAGGGGAGATTGGGTCAGTTTTACATGTTTTCTTTTTTCTGGAAAGTCTCTCTGGAGGTCTGGGTAGCTGAGATAGCACGAGGACCTCTGTGTTCAGGTGACGGTCCCCTCCTCCCTGGTTTAGTCCTATAGCCGAGAACTCCGATCTAGGATTGCGTTGGCCAGTCCTATCTGACTTTCATTTGAATGCAGTGTCTGCTTAATATATTCACAACGCACCTCTTTTCTAGATGTTCTGATGGTCTTAATGGAGTATCAGCAGTTAAAATAACAAAGATGTAATGTCTTTCTTTCTCTTTCCACATTAAAAAAAAATACCTAGCACACAAGAAGGTGCTCTGTAAGATTCTGTTCATTTCAAACATGCCAATTCTCCATTTTGTGTTGTTTTTTTTTACGAGGTAGTGGTTACGGGCTTTCATATCCAGCTTTGCAAAGTTAGCCTTATTTTGTATTGTAAAATTGTACAACCCAAGGTTTGATTACTTAAAGGTGTGTGAGCCGTTCGCTCATTCCATTTTTCACTGTAAAGCAGCTTGCAGTCCGACTTTTAGTAAGGTATTCTTTTTCTGTTTATTATGAAATATTCTGGTCACATAAATAGCTTTCTGTTTTCTAAAGCCGGAGTGCCACTAATGAACGAGGCTGTTTTCTTTTACATTGTGACATTTTCTTAGTAGCTTTTCATAGTCTGTTTTCATTACATCATGGGGCAATGCCTCCAACTAGATCATTTGCCACGGAGGGAGATTGTCAGTTTCCTTGATAAAATGTTTATGGGTTTAAGAGGTTCATGAATCAGCGGTAAATATTTGCTCTGGGTTTATGAGACCTCCACTCATAAACATCGTGTATGTTTATCTATTGCTCATTGAAATGTCTTTAGAGAATCAGCCTCTTAGGCACATGCCGGGGAGGAAGTGTTACTAAATGACAGATTTGAAAAGGCTGTATTGTGAGGAGCCCTGCATTTTGTATCAGATTTTATTGTTAAAACAACACACTTAAAGTTACCAGTGCTGGGCATAAAGGTTTTTAAAAATATTTTTAATTCCATTCTAGGTCTGACTTTTGGGGTGCTTATTAAAGTTCTTTTTGCATGCATAATTTTATACTTTCTTTACTGTACTTTAAAAATCACCTAATGCTGGCCTCTTTATGCCCAGAATTTTGGGATGTAGGAGCAATAAGGATATGAGTTATACATTAAGCAATTACGATTTGTCTACACATTTAGGGGCACAAGTAAACTAGGGACTGAAGAAAAACTCAGTTGCACTTGTTGGAAAAACCCATTGAGGACTGAACTGAGATTAATGCCTTTATTAATCAGGAGAAATAGCAGCAACAGGATAGATGAAGTCATTGGCATGTGCCAATCTAGGCAGTGGATCGCAGGGGTGACTGGAGGCTAGAAACCTGGCTGGTGGCTGCAGCTCAGGATCTAGCGCAGGATAGCGGGCTGGGAAAGTCTAGACTCTAGAGGCAGAATGGTTATGTCACTCCTTAAACCCTCTTTTCCAAACCACCTCCTAGATGCTTTCCTCAAACAGGGTAAAAAGTATTTTTTTTAGGCACCAGAGAGTGACACCTTTCTTCAGCCCTGTTATTAATGACACACACTTGGGAGTCACGATGGTACCTCTTCCTCTCTTGGTTAACTTGAATGAATGAATGAATATCTGGGTGAACACGAAAGCATCTACAGTCAAACCTTGGTTCTCGAACATCTCCCATCTGGTGCTCAACCAAGTTGTTCACAGAAAAAATGTCTCAAACTTTTCGACCTGACAACCTTTTCATGCTAATACCTCAATATGACAAAAAGCATCTCTTAGGCAACAAAGGAGAGAATGCTCCTGCCCAGGACCAAGTTTTATGCCCATGGCTGCGCCCTGGTTCTCTCTTTCTTTACAAGCAGGTCTCAGGGGCTGTGCCCATGTGGTTCGCCTCTCCCGAAGGTGGCTGCTGCCTCTAGCCCTGTGTCTTTCTGTTGTCTGATTTGGCTCTGGAGTGTTCAAAGGCTCATCAGTGCAGAAAGACAGAGAGAAGTCAGCCTTAGAGTCTCCACCTGGAGAAATGGGTGGTGGTGGTGAATGGAGGTGTCTGATTTGTGATATGGACAGAAGAATGACACAGGAAGGTGCCTCGTAGGAGTTCCATTCTGGAAATCAGATAGCCTGCCTTGGACTCATGCCTCCTTGGCTGGACAGTTGTGTGATAGTTGTGGCTCCAGCCTTTCTGGGCCCCCGTTAGGGCCTCCATCATCCCTTCTGTGCAATGAGGTTGTAGTATCCATCTGTCAGGGTTCTTGAGATGTAAAGCAATCAGCAGAGAGCTGATGCTCCAATACGGCATGGCTCTTATGTGTAGTCACTTTGTGGAGCTGGAAGGTTGAGCTGAAGCTGGACAGGGTGCAAAGAATAAAGTAGGACAAGTTAGCTATCATCAGGTATGGCACCAGACCACCTGGACAGATACATCGTGCTGCTGTGATGCTCTGGCTAGTGGGTCAAAAAGCAATCCTGAGAATCAATGTCCAATGCTGCTTGGGGCAAAATAATTGTGGGCAGAGCTGTTGGGTGACACTCACATGTGTTTTCTGAATGTGACTGCTTTCCCTTTGGGTTTGCCTTACTGTGTCGAAGTAGCCGGAAACCACCTGGTGTCCTTGTTAGCTGGTGGCCGCAGGACCCTCTGACTTTTTCAGGGAACACACTTCTGATAAAAAGACAGCAAGTCCCTGGGTGAAACAGACTTTTGGGAGAGATACAAGAAGAGGGTTTTCTTTTCAGATGGCTTTTTATTTTCTTGGACATTTGATTATAAACCACTTGATTGGAGTGAAATTTGAGAAAATAGTTTTAAGGAACTTTGATTCAGTAGACAAAATTGAAGGTAACTGCCTTCCAACTTAGCATGTTCTGACTTTACAAAAATTATCCTCTTCTATCATTTTCTGAGATTATGCACTGTATCACAAGAAAATTACTTTTCTTCCAACTTTTAATTTAAAAGTCTTTAGTAGGAACAAGTAGTGATAGATAGCCTCAAGAACAAGGCTTTCTTTCTTAGACTCTCCCTTTGCCGCATTCCCCTAGCCCACCTGCCAGTATTTGTTCTTGGTCCAGTGAGGTAACCTCCTGCTAGTAGAAGATACACAGTTGAACATTATTGCAAGAAGAGAGAATCTAAACGTTTGAAGCTCTTACTTAGCTGCATGTATGGACAGCCCTGACTGCTGTATGTTCTTTCCTTAGGATTGTCTTACAAATCGGTTAAAGTAATGGTGATAGCTGATTAGTTCTTTCCATTTGAAATTGTGACATGACATTTATGTTATCTGTATTTCACTTTAAAAATTTTTGAATGAGTTGTGTGTGAGAGAGAGAGAGAGAGAGAGAGAGAGAAACATCCATTTGTCATTCCACTTATTTATGCATTCATTGGTTGATTTCTTGCATGAGCCCTGACCGGGGATTGAGCCTGCAATCTTGGCGTATTAGGATGACACCCTAACCCAGTGGTCGGCAAACTGTGGCTCTCGAGCCACATGCGGCTCTTTGGCCCAGTGAGTGTGTCTCTTCCACAAAATACCACGTGCAGGCGTGCATGTAC